ATGTAACCTAATATATTCACAGGTTCTAGTATGTGACAACTTTTTGGGGGGAGTGGGGAGGTTGTACTCTTCTGCCTACCACAGTACTTTATACAAATCACATCAGCCCTTCTGGGGTGAGGCCCAAGCATCAATACTGTTTATAGGTCCCCAGATAATTTCCATGTACTGACAAGTTTGAGAACCAGTACCCTATGTTGAATATGTGGAGAGAATATACTTAGTCCTCTACTTTCATATTGCCTCTCATGTTCACATGACAGATATAAACCCCACACATGCACAGAAGAACATCACACAGTTACATACCCACGCATCTGCCATGCTAGTCGCAGGCGGAGACTCTGTTCATCACATTTTAACTCCATCCTTTTCGCTTCCTCGCCGCCTCCCAGTCCTCATCTTCCTTCTAGCCCCGGATGTGTGCATGTGTACATAGACAAACATGAGGTATTTTCCCATTTGTTGCCAAAATAAGCTGTTTTCCCTGTGGTGGCCTCCCAGAGAGACCGAGTTATGCTGGTGGTTTTCCAACATGCACATTTGCTCCTCAGAAATGGGGCAGAGTCAGCCATTTTCTTTCATAGGAACCAAGAGGCTCTGAGGATAAAAATTATATCCCTGCCGGACTATAATCAGCCTCTACTGCTCGTGTATCTGTAGGTGTTGAGAACAGGGCTGCGGCCCCCGCTGGACTGTTACTGTGATCTGAGTGTGCACTGAGGAATCTGGACAGTGGAGAAGGACACCGCTTTGGTTGTAAATATCTCTATTTGATTGACTGACCTACTGAATTATTCTCTTGGTTTTCATTAATGAGAGAAACAATAGGCTAAGATAAAGGCCAACCAGGCCATTTTGGAATCAAGTATCAAAACCTTACTAGCAAAACACATTGTACTTAGAACATAACCACAAAGCTGAAGGGTCAAATGATCATCAATTTAGAAACTCAGTTTCCAATCTCCTCATATAGATTTAAAAAAGGCCTGACCAGCACAAGGGATTATCCTGTTCATATGTCGGTGACCAAGCCTAAAGAGGACTAGGGTGAGCAGTTTAGTGGCAATGCCAGTGAGGGGAGACCTCAGTGCGCAGTGGACCTGGGCTGGTCGCTGGTGAAGGTGCGGTCAGCAGGAGAGAGCAGCGGAGGCCAAACCAAGGTCACCTCATGCATCAGAGTTTAGTGTTTCCGTTCGAGGTGAACTGCATGGGAGGCTGGGCACAGAGGACTCCGTCAGACTCCCAGACACTGTTCATAAGGAAGAACTGTGGTGCTGGTTTACTAGGAACATCCTTCAAGTTCACGCTCAAGAGGACAGGGTGTTTTGAAAGGAACACAAACAAGAAAATGAACTGGACTGAGCTGACTGAAGTAGGTGTTGCTGAAACCTAATTCTGGCATTGGCCAAACCTTCAAGCAGGAGTGGGGAACGTCCGGCCCTCGGGCTGTATAAGGCCCGAGAAATCACTTGCGCTGGCCCTGCCAAGGCGTTAGGGGTGAGTTAGTTAAATGTCTGACCAAATACAGCAGCTAATGTTTGAGTTGATAATTGTGTATGGCCCGGGAATGATGTTATAAATATCCAAATGGCCCTGGGCGGAAGAAAGGCTCCCACTAAAGTCAGCACCACGAAGAGTCAGAGAGGCACCGCTCTGGTGGGTAAACAGCTGTCTCAGCCGTCTCTGCCAGTGTGTGCCAGTCCCCATCACTCCTTTTGATGTTCAAATATCCCACATTTGGCCAATCCTCTTTATCTCTCTCTGTCAACCTTTGCGCCTTTCCCTTCCTGAAAGAAACCAAGGTGATAAGGAAGACCACTGTCTCAAGAGCATCAGTACTGGGACTAAGGGGACCAGTGTGTCCTTTGGAAGAAGCACGAAATAACTACTATGCTCCCTGAAGGACACAAAATGCTCAGAGATCGCCTATGCTTACCAGTGAACTACCATGATAAAGGCATGCTAGAGCCCATCAGTGGAATTTTCATGTTGAAAGGTTAGGAAGGGAACGTGGTAGGCTGAATAATATAGACCCTCATCCTGGTCCCTGGAATCTGTGAATGTTACCTTATATGGCAAAGGGACTTTGCAGGTGTGTTAATAAGTTAAGGATAAAAAAGGGGAAGGGATTAAGATATAAAATTACCAGCTATAAAAATAATCACAGGAATGTAAAGTACAACATAGGGAATATAGTCAATAATATTGAAATAACTGTGTATGGTATCAGATGGGTACTAGACTCACAGAGTGGTCCCTTTGTAAGCTATATAAATAACTAATCCCTTTTTGACCTCCTGAAACTAATAGACTATTGTATGTCAACTATAATTGAAAAAAATAATAAATAAATTAATTAATTAAAGATATGAGATGCAGAGATTATTCTAACATGCAGCAAAGTACAAAAACTATTGAACTAGAGAAAAGACTAGATAAGGACATGCTGACGTGGTTGCTTCTGTGGGAAAAATGTATGGGAAGTCAGCAAGTCACCTCACCCAAGAATGAACCATCAATCCTTAACCATCTACCCACAGATGACTACACAGGGGCCTATCTAAGCACGTCATAGGATGGCACGCTTCCCCAGTGTGGTGTCCCTTCTAGTCTGACCCACTGCATATGCTGCATTTCCTTGGGACAAAGAACAATTACACACATGACAGGCAGACTTTCTACAGAGCTAACTTTCTTACCAATACCACCTTTCACGGAAGGAACGGGCCAGTGACTACATCATATGCAAACACATGAATCAGCACATTCACACGAACACTATCAGGAAAAGGACTATGCCGGGAGCCGGTCCATCCTTGCTGTTTCAAAGGACCTGGCATATATGGCATACTGTCCTTAAAATGTTTGCTCACCTTCTTGGCACTATGTGTTTTAACCAAGGTCTCTGAGAAAGGTTGTTTCCCCAAGTATGGATTTTCCCCTGAAGTTAGGGAGGGAATAAAACCTCTTAACTAAGTGCCAGGCGGGTAATTAATCACTTTAACTATGAACAATGGAGATAAGAAACGCCCTAACCTTTGTAATAGAGATTGATAGGATTGAATCAACTGGTATAAATACAGACGTAATAAGACAGCAAGAGACAGAACTTAGAACACAGAACTTAGAATACGGAACCAAGAGAGACAGAACCTAGGCACAGACCCTACACAGAACGTTCTCTAGAGACAGAAGAACTTCGCTGGAGAGAACATGGCAAAAGTTCCTGGACTGAACCTGACTACAGAAATGGGCAAGAGAACCTGACTAGAACCTGGTGACTGAACCTGGCTGGAGAACCTGGACAGAACCTGGCTGGAGAACCTAGCGAGGGAACATGGCTACAGAACCTGTCTGGAGAACCTAGCGAGGGAACATGGACACAGACCCTGGCTGGAGATCCTAAGCAGAACCTCTCTGGAGATCGAGACCAGAACTTGGCTGGAGATCCTGGCTGGAGATCCTGGCTAGGCTGCTGATCAACTGAACGCTGCCTCCATGTCATTCCTTCTTCGCCAACTCCGTCCACACCTTTGGGGACCCCTGGACCTGCTGGGGCCGGACCCCAGCAGGACTACACTGTCTTCCTCTCTGGGCTTAAACTACGAAAAACCACTATTAGGACTGTAAAGATGGAGAGCTTTTCATTTGCTTTAGTCATCTATTTACTTACGATAGGTTATAGATGGGGATTGTTTATATATTATTTATTTGGGAACAAATTAACTCATTCTTCATAGAGATCCAGAAAAGTACTACTTGTACAATTTTGACAGGGACAGCCCTCCCTCCAGAGCGAGCGTCTGCCTGCTCCTGGGGCTTCCTCATACATGGTATGCTTAATAAACAGCCATTCCATCATGAGCCTCCGTAGTACTATCACCAACAGCCAAACGCACAACCTCTTACTTCTTACTTTTCTCTCCCTACTTTGTCTTCCCCAGAGAGGGAGCTAGTGAAGTAGAAGAGGCAGTCACATGAGAATCAGAAGACCTGTTTGGAATTTCAGTTCCATCCTGTATAAGTCATGTCATGTTTAGGAGTCCCTCAGCCACTCTGAGCTCTGTCTCTAACAAACTGATACCATTGCCTTCACAGTGTTAATGAAATAAAACAATACAGATGAAAGTGCTTGGCCGTAGTAAGAACTTCACGAGGCTCAGCTTTCACACATCACCCCATGCTGAAGCCTCTCACGTCTCGTCTTCCGTCGTCCTCTCATGAGCTCTGGCCCCGTATCTCCCACCGTCTCCTCAATGCTCCGGCTCGGATCCCTTACTGGCATCTCCAACTGGACATGTCTAAACTGGATTTATGATCTGCACTCACAACCATGGCCCTCCAGCTGCACTGACCGTGTCCATCAGTTAAAGTGCCATCGGTCCCCCGCCCCATCCTTTCCTCTCCATTCCCACTGCTCAACTCTCACTCAGGCTCAGAGCCTCGCAGCTCACACCTCAAGCGCCGGAGCCTGTCAGGTAAAGCCCTGTCGCTTCCAAGCCAGCCTGCTTGTGGACTGCAGATGAGTCTCTCTTCAAACAGACTCACCACATCGAGCCCTGAATAAAGATCCTCAAGCACTTTCTTGCCCTGCAGCTGGCATCTGTGATGGAGGAGGAGCCAGCTCCACTGGGCACGCAGAGGACAGTGTGCTTGTCCCCGCAGCTCCCCTGTGCCTCCCATCAGCGTGCCAGGCACTGAGTAACTTCACTCCATGATGCACGAAGGAAAGCTCTCAGAATAGATGGATCGTAAAACAAAGTATTTTTAAAAGCAGTTCCAGAGAACTGGAAATTTTTTATCAAACTTCTTTACACAGTATATAGTAACTACAATCTAAATCTGCCACAAACCACCCTCAATTGCATTAAGTATCATAATCCATTGATAGTAAACCACATTACATGTTTTGTAATATTACAATCATTTAACAAATATCCAAGCCTTCAGTATTTATACTAAATAGCAAAGGCGGTCAATCTCAGAGATGTTCTTACCATTTTGTTCCTCCAGTTCATTCCCAATCTCCTGCCCCATTTGTTTTTGGCGACTTATGATAGAAGAAAGGGCATCGAGGCCTGCATCCTGTTCTGAAAGAAAAAGTAAAAAATTAACTAAAAACCGAAGGAAACCATTTAAAGTCCAGAAATATACCCAGGCATATAACACAACTCAATATATGATAAAAGTAACATTTTAAATCACTAGGAAAAGGAGAGAGAAAACAGTTAACACTATTGGAAAAAAATGAAGAAAAAAAAATTAAGTGCCTACCTCATACCTTAAATGAAAGTGATTTCCAGATGAATTAAAATTTTAAATATTAGAAATGAGCATGAAATTTGACTATATAAACATTTAAACTTTCGAATATCTAATACATAAAGAGCATGTGCAAATCAGTAAGAATTAATCTTCCAATTTTTAAAATGGGCAAAGGATATAAACAAGAAATGAAAATGAAAAAGAATGCGAATACCCAGGGTTAACGAAGTGTGAAGAACTAGAAGCTCCTATGTACCGCGTCATGGGAGGACAGCTCACATAACTTTCTGGAGAGCAAATCGTGCCTACCTTTTTATCTGTCAGCTCTACGTCTACAAATGTATGTAAGAAAGCATCAGACAACATGCAAGATGTATATCCAATGACATTCCTTGACACATCGCTTCCTGTGCTAGTTACCAGTGTATTATCTCTCAGCTCCAAACTGACCCCCTTTTGACCGCTCTGTGAAAATGGACCTGGGTCCTTTAAATATCTTTCCTTTTGCCATCTTTGTCAGTAGAGGGGACTACAGAGACATCAGAGGAGGAAAGGTTTGCTTCCTGCCTGCACCCCGCTCTCTCGCTGGGTTCCCGCAGCCTTCCAGCTTCTCCAGTGTCCTCCAGCGCACAGAGGCCAGCAGCACCCAAGGTCAGCAGGGCACCCCCCTCCGTGGGCAGTTCCATAACAGAGTGCCTCCACTTAGACACTTCCCCAGGAATAATATCCCTAGCATCCTAGAGGGCAGATTCTAGCAGACTGTCTGGCTGCAAACCACAGGGACTTCTCTGAAATCGTTACTCTAACGTCCCGTTATAGTTAATAATTCTGTATATTAAACTTTCAACCCTCTTTCTCCTAATTGGACCCACACTGATACATTTATAATAGTGAAAAACTGGAAACTATCCAAATGCCCAAACACAATGATTTGTTTAAAAATGTATATAGAGCCATGTAATAAAATACTACAGAGCCATTAAAAGTGATATGGTCCATGGATATTTTGATGTTGAAAGAAATCCCTGATATGTTATTAAGTGTAAAAATGCAGGACACAAAACAATAAATAGTAAAAATAGCATTTTTGTTTTTTTAAATGTACTGCTTTTCTAGATTGTGAAAATTTAAAGAAAAAAAGAACTCAAAGTACTTTCTTTAAAATTTTATATTGGTTTGTTCTTTGCAGTCTCAGTAATCTCTTTGTAAGAACCATTCTCTTTGCTTTCAGGTGCATTTGGAAGAACATTCTGAGGCTGAATCTAAGGACTCTTTCTACCCAGGCAATCTGCCAGATGAGGTAACATGCCAATTGTGGCTTCATTTGTTGACGGGGTTCTTTTCATGACTAGTTCACATAAAGGCATATCTTCAAAAGCTGAAATCACAACCGTCTTCTTATGCAAGATCACGTTAACAGTGACTTGTATTTTTTCCTAGTCTTTTTATGGAATTAAGCCATTGCGCTTAACTCATTAATTCATCTGGAATTTATTTAAACTAATGGTGTGAGGTAAGGACCCCTCAGTGACATTTTTTGACACTACGTATTTTTCAAACTATACAAATGACCTGCTTTCTCCAGGGATCATTCTAAGGGACCATTTTATAGCAAAATCTCTTTATAATGAGGTCCTTTTGGTCTTTAGTAACAACCTCTTGGATGGCCTCCAAGATAAATCTATCATCAACCTAGTGCTGCTATAGGATGACCAATATTATAGCAAAATTCCAAATGCATCCCAAAAAGAATCTACATACAGGACTGAGGGTCAAGAGTCAACATGAATTAAAAGGTAAAACAATTTTAAAAGAGGAAAGACGATTCCTCTACAGTTTTCAATTAGAAAAAGAATCATTAAAGTTATGAAGTTGATTTATCTAGTAGAGACATAGATTATGAATGAAAAATAACTACTCTGCACTCTTTTTTCTCAACCTTGACTCGTGATATGGTTTAACTACCTAAAGGTTCTCTTCCTAATGCAAAACAGAAAGAGGGCTAAACATTCTGCTCCACTGAAATCATTTCTGTGAGAACTGAGCACCTCCCCACTATGGTTAAGAGAAAAACATTTTCATTCCAGAATCCAAAGACACAGACAGTCCAGGGATCTGAAACACTGCATATGTGATGATGATATTGATGACCTAAGCTTCTCCAGATCCTAAAGCAGCAATTCCAAGGGGAGGTGCTACGGTCATCTTAGAGACAATGAACCAAGTAAAATACTTCTGCTTACACAAATATAAACACAGTCATGCAGCACCATGCAAAACTATGACGTCATACTGAGTAACTCATTACTGTCATCTGCCCTACCCTATCACATAACCCAAGTCATTCCATCACAATCGATCATTTGCAACATACAACAGTCTATTAATCATGCTTCGATTTTATAATGATATTAATTTTTTAAAAATGGGTAACCATTGTGATACGTAAAATAATGTGCCCCCTAAAGATTTCCATTTCCTAATCCCTGGAACCTGGGAATATATGAGCTTACTCGGCAAAAGGAACTTTGCAGTTGTGATTAAGGTTAAGGCACTGGAAATGGGAGATTATTCGGATTGTCCAGGTGGACCCAGTGTAATCACGAGTCCTTAAGACAAAAACCTCTTCTAGCTGCAGTCACAGGGAGACATGAAGAAGGATCTGAGAGATGCAACTGCTGGCTTTGAAGACTGAAGCAGGGAACGACGAGACGGGTTGGCGGCCTCTAGCAGCTGGAAAAGGCAAGGAGATGCACTCTCCTCGGGAGCCTCCATCAAGGAAGCCAACACCTCTGCCCCAGCCCAGAGACCCACAGTGAACTTCTGACCTCCGGGACTGTAAAATAATAAGTTTGAATTTTAAGTCACCAAATTTGTACTAATTTATAATGACAGACTAGAAAATGAATACAATCATTTTTTTTAAATCCCTCTGGAATAATTAGGTGTTTGGCGATTTTCTATCTTTAGATATTCAGAAAAGCCATCTTCTAACTAAATATCATGTAATTGTGGGAGGACTATTTGGTGGCTGCAGATTAAAAATAAAGAATCATCCTACTGTACTCTTACCAAAAATAACAAACTTGATTCTGATCAAGCCACTAAATCTAACTACCAATTTACAGAAGATATGCAGGACAGAGGAATATTTTAATATATGGGCATACAAACAGCAAGATCTAGATGACGGGAACTACACGGCAAATGACCCTGTTTCTTCGACCAAGAAAATGCAAAGAAAAAAAAAAGAGAGAGAGCTGGCAAAGGAACCTATCTATTAAAGGAACCAAAGGGACATCAATTAGTTGCAATATACAGACTATATTCAGATCATGAAAAGAACAACCTAAAAATAACAAAACCCAACATCATGGGACAATCAAGGAAATCTGAACACTCGATGTTTGATTATACTATGGAATTATTATGAACTTGCTAAGGGTGATAATGGTGTTGTAATTATATTTTTAAAAAACAGTTCTTCTCTGTTTAAAACATACGTTAGAGACATATTCTGGAATATTCACCCATGAAATGATATAATAAATACCTGAGATTTGCTTCAAAATAATCCACGGAATAGGTAGTTGGGTAGACATATGGATGAAACACAATGGACTATGAATTGGTAATTGCCGAAACAATGGGTAGACTGGAATCATTATCTTACTCTTTCTACTTTTATGTTTGAAATTTTCCACAGCAAAAAATTATCAACTTTTTAACAAGTAAATAAAACAAAGGGACAGTTCTAAGAGCTGCAGCCTCAGGCCCCTGACTAAGCACATGACAAAGGCCCCTAGGGCTGGGCTGTGTCTTCTTTCCCTATGTCTTTGTCCCAGTTCAGAGCCCAACTGGTGGCACAGCGCAAGTATTTAATAAATTATGTGAAATCAAGAATAACCAAAGAGACCTCTAGGTCTGTAGAAGAAAGAAATTTAGTCTCTACTAGACATACGAAAGGGCTTCTGGTCAATACAAGACAGCCTTCTAAGTTCAGGTAGTAGAAAAGTCATTGAGGTTTACTGCCCAGTGCCCAGAGAGGACCAATGGAAATTCTCATGTTTACATATAGAGTGAGCTCTCCCTGAGTAAGGAGAAGGAAGGAACAAATGAGGAAAAGATTAGGTCAAGCTGGATAAAGCTAATCATTTTCCCAGCATTGGAAAGACTCTTAGAGCAAGATCTAAGAATAGATGATTTTATTGTGAGATTTTAGTGAAAGATTCCTGGTCTAGGTGATAGTTACAAGGAAGAAAGTTGTCTGTAAAGTACGAATTGCAAGGGTTTAAAGATAAGCTACTCTGACTTGCTGGAATCTGACTAGCCACCTTCCCACCAGGCCTAAGAACACAGAAATCTAGAAAAACATGCGGCTTTCTGCTAGAATCCAGAAAGGACACCTATAAAATAACAGTTAAGAAACCCCATCAACAAAGACCTCCTGAGTGAAGATAGAACAATACCTCATACCTTCTCCAAGGTCTGCCGTCGACTCAGACAGGGGTCTGTATTAATCACAAAGTTACCTTCCCTTGTTCTATCTCGGGAATTTTTGAGGAGATCTAGGTACTGTCATCACCTCCTCCATCTCATGCTTAATGTCCATTTGTGCCTCAAATTACAGCGTGACTAACACAGAAGCCGAGACCGGCTGACTGGCTGTAACAAGGCCTAGCTTCTAGCTTAGTCGAGGAAGGCATCCGTTGCCGAGTCCAAGGTCTGCCAACAAACTGTTATTTTAGGATGATTTTCAGAGTGTTTCTAAGGGTCAACTAAAGTACAGAAAGGCTAACAGAGTGTATGGGCCAAAGGAAGCTAG